TTGGGCCATCCTCCACTGCACTCCCTGGCCATAGCAGAGAGCTGGCCTGGAAGAGGGGCAACCGGGACAGAATCCGGCGCCCCAACCGGGACTAGAACCCGGTGTGCCGGCGCCGCAAGGCGGAGAATTAGCCTAGTGAGCCATGGCGCCGGCCTAACCCAGCACAGTTGTGACAGGTAGGGTGCAGAGGGAGAAACCCGGCCAAGGTGACAGCCAAACTCAAGCCGAGTCTTTAAGCCACTCAGTGGAGGAGGCAAGGCAGGAAGCGCTAAAGTAACAGAACTGACAAATAGCCCCAGACAGGAAGTGGACCCTGTTGGGGAGTAGCGGTGATGGGGAAGGGGGTGCAGGAGCTTTCTGCTCCCTTCTACCTCTGCTTCCTGGAGGCCACAGCACAGCAGACACTGCCCCCAACCCAAATACACATAGAGAGCAAGAGACACCACACCCCATACCTGGGAAGCCATGCCATTCTGTGACCCATCTCTGGGCAGATGCAGTGTAGAGAGGGACCAGGGCAGGGTGTGGCATTGCTACTTTTTGGTCTTCTTTCCCAGCTACTTGATTGGACTGATCATGTGGATGACTTTGCCTCTTCCGCCTTGGGGCATCTTGCCCACACTTAATTCCTTTTCTTGATGCTACTGTACTCTCTAAACACTAGACTAGGAGGGAGCACTCAGCTGTTGGGGGAATAACTGAGCTGGGGGCGCAGAGGGAAGGAAGGGCTGGGGTAGGGATCTTTCTGGTCAGTAGATTGAATAACCAGCCAGATTTTTTATTTTTTCATATATATATATTAAAGACTAGAACCCCGGATGCCGGCGCTGCAGGCAGAGGATTAGCCTATTGAGCCACGGTGCCGGCCATCCCAGATCCTTCATAATCTTGTGTGTCTAATCAATCTTTTCCTGAGTCAGTGGCTCTCATTCTATAGGAAAAGAGAGAAGCTAGAGGAGAAAGGACCCCTAAACTTCCAGGAGTACAACAGGAAGTACAGTCGAAGGCTTCCAAAATCTGTGTATTTGGAAATCATTTTCATTCTGCTTTCATCCATTTATTCAGCAGCTAGCATCGAGCACCTACCAAGTGCAGGGTACCATGGCTAGGGATGAAGGATGCAGAGGTGAATCGGACACAGCCCCCGTCCTTGGGGGAACCTGGAAGATGCTGGCTCCCTCTGCCACCAGCCATGCTTCTCCAGTCTGTACTCACCCATGAGGATCCACGGCCTGACCAGGAGTGTCCATGCCAAAGCCAGGCGGAAGTCCATGATGAAAGTGATACCACGGCCTCAGATGTCAGGATACCCCAAAAGGAAGACCCTAGATAAAAACAGGGAGAATGAGCTCCAGCTGTTTAGGAGAATCAGGCCAAGGCCTCTGCCAGCCCCTATATATCAAGGCCTGGCGCTGGGCCAGGGCCATGGTGGGTAGCAAAGAGCAAGAGACTCAGTCTCTCCCTAGATTGCTTTCCTTCATTCAACAAATACTTGACAAGAACCCACCATGTAGCAAGCATTGATCCAGGCACTAAAGAGTCAGCAGTGAACAAAACAAACAGAAATCCCTGCGTCCCTCGACTTTACCTTCTGAGATGACTTGGAAAACTTTGCCTTGGACCAGTCTCCTGTAGAATGTGGACAGAGCCTTGCCTAGAGGCCAGATGACTGACTGCCCGAGGTCTCAGCGCTGCTGCCAGTCAGTGCACTGTGAAATCTCAGGCCAACTTCTCCTATCTGATTCTTGCTTTCCTCTTCCAGCTGTGGGAGTAAACATGCCTCAACTGTTCACATCTCAGTGTGCTGCCAGAATCAGATGTGGGAACGAGGTGGAATTCAAAGCAAGAAAAGTGACAGAGGTTATGCAAATGTGGCTACAGGAAAGGCAGGCTGGAGTTTGGCTCCCCTGGGAGGACTCAGAAGGGCTGCCAGGCGCTCATGTTTCGGTGCTGGCTTCCTGGCTGCTTCTCCCCAAGCCAAGAAACCACCCAGGAAGAGAGGCAGCAGGGGAGTGAGGCTGGGATTCCTGTAGGGTACAAGGAGGACCTAAAGCCAGTGATGACCTCCTAAAGGCTACCTGAAGACTGGGTGTGGGGTGGAAGGAAGGGAGGGCTCAGGGAAAGCCTCGGGCCCTTGGACAGGTTGACCAGTCACAAAGGAGAGAAGCCACAGAGCGATCTCATCCCTACTCCCCACCTCCCATTAAACAAAAACCCTGGGCCCTGGCCATAACTCTAAAGCTCCGTTTTCTACCTGTTTGGTCCCAGAGAGTCTGTCCAGGTGCTGGCTTTTGATAGGATGGGAATAGCTGAGCTCTGGGTGGTTGGACTGAGGCCAGACATGCCCAAGGTGCCCAGGTGGTCCTTTCCTGATCCCAGAGGCCCCGCCCTTTCTCCCTACCATCATGTCGTCAGGATCCTGGGCCCCTGATACTAATGTACCACTCGATCCCCCGAGGGCATACAGGGGGCTTCCAGGCCAGGCTGTGGGGGCCACCTGGAGAGAAAGGTGGGCATACCTAATAACTGCTCCTTGTGGATGAGGGTAACTGGAAGGATTTACCCAGCAATGTAGAGGCAGTATGTTCCCAACAGCTTTGAAAAGGAGGCGCAAGCCCAGGCCAGGGCGGTGAGGCCCCAGGCAGTGGCAGAACTAAGGAGAGAACACAGGGCTGCCCGCCTCTGGCCCCACGTGGCCACTTTTTCAGCAGAGTGGTGGCCCTGCGGTTGGGAGGAGATGAGTCAAGATCATTGAGATTCCAACCTGGTCCCAAAGGAGGGCTGAGGCAGGGAGTCTGACTCCGGCATGATGTGCTGGTGCCAGAGGGAGAAGGCTCCCACCATTCCGCGGTCCGGAAGAACTCTATCTCCCCAAACCTTGGTGGGGCAGAGGGCAGGTCCCGACAGGGCCCAGGTCAGCCTCAGGGTAAGAGCCGAGGCTCAGGGGGAGTCCAGGATTTCTCGCCCCCCCTCCCCGAACGAATTAGCGTTGCAGGCAGAAAACAAAAAGTTACATGCCAAAATGCATTCAAAACCATAAAGTCCGTAGAGAATGTCCAGAAAATACAAACACACGCACAGGCTGTAGCAAGATCTGGGATCGAGATAGCCACAAACACCAGATATTTCTGCTTTCATCCAGGCGTATCCGGACAAAGTGTTGTGGAATTTGGGTGAAATTTAACCAAAAATATGACCGTCAAATGGGTTTTGGAGAAAAGCACAATCTTTCTGTCCAGGAAGTGGAGCCAATGTCATGTTTACAAGCACAAAAAATATCGTGTTTTCTCGGTTTTCTTAAGCTTTCTGCCTAGAACACGCGAAGGTGTGGAGGATTTGACTCCATGTGGAGCCTATTAGCGTTTGCCAGCAGAAAAGAAAGTGTTAGATGCTAAAGTGCATTCCAAACCGTCAAGTCCGTAGAGAATGTCCAGAAAACACCAACAAACACAGAGGCTGTAGCAAGATCTGGGATGGAGATAGCCACAACACACCAGCTACTTCTGCTTTCATCCAGGCATATCCAGAGAAGTGTTGTGGAATTCAGGTGAAATTAACCAAAAAATCACAGTCAAAGTGGTTTGGAGAAAAGCACAATCTTTCCGTACGGCAGGTGGATCCAATGTCATGTTGACAACACAAATATCATGTTTTCTCGGGTTTCTGATGTTTTCTGCGTAGAAAACTCGAATGTGTGGAGGATTTGACTCCATGTGGAACAAAGTAGCCTATGCCGTCAGAAAACAAAATGTTACATGCTAAAATGCATTCAAAACCGTCAAGTCCATAAAGATTGTCCAGAAAACACAAACACACACAGAGGCTGTAGCAAGATCTGGGATGGAGATAGCCACAACACACCAGTTACTTCTGCTTTCATCCAGGCATATCCAGAGAAGTGTTGTGGGAATCAAGTGAACTTAACCCAAAAATCACAGTGCCAAGTGGGTTGTAGATATGCACAATCTTTCTGTATCGCAGGTGGATCTGATGTCATGTTGACAACACATATATCATGTTTGCTCGAGGTTTACTGATGTGTGCTGCGTAGAAGACTCGTAATGTGTGAAAGCATTGACTTCCATGTCGGAACATAAGTATCCTATGCCCGTCAGACAACAGATGTACATGCTAAAATGCATTCA